CGAGCCATTTTTGAAAGTCGCGAATTATGTTTGCTTTAGATGAATGTCTTGCATACAAAGTCCTCGATTCCGCTGACMGAGCACAAAGCCAAGGTCCCCTCGACARCGGAAATTATAAATGCGACAAAWCGCTAACCGCTGGATGGTATAGGTTTTCAGGCAGCGCGGGCTCACACATGGCTACGTCWTGCGTTCAAAGATTTCACTGCGGTACCCATTCCACTGGCTGGATGAATGACACGCTGCCAAGTTTCGCCGAGGGAAAGGTGGCACGACAAGTTTGTTTTAACTGGAATGGTCATTGTTGTCATTGGAAGATTACGGTGTTGGTGAGAAACTGTGGTGGATTTTGCGTGTACAACCTTAGAAAACCACCAAACTGTCGACTGAGATACTGTGGAGATGGTGTACTGCAAGGTAGGGACAGAAATCAAATCCATCTACTATAGAACAAAGCACGATGGGAAATACAGTCCTATATCCACTAAGACACAGTTACTAGGGGCGCTCCGAGGCAGTTTGGGCTGGTGAAGGGTTTTCTCTACTACAATAACACACAAAATATATCCATTATAGTTTTTGTTTCATTAAAATAATGCAGCTAAATAAACACCTTTTTGCAAATACAACAAGGAACATTATTCAAACGGACTTCAAAAAAGTCTGAATACTCCAGTTTCGAATTCAAAGCGAATAACCGCTGTTTTACTTGATAGCAGATTCTATTACGCAAAGAACTTACCAAAGACAAAAGAAAGCACGAGAAAATGTTGTTGAGGCTAACCCTGCTCATACCTTAGGTCTTATGGGAATACAGGGATAATCCAGTCAACTCGGGGAAAATGCAAATTTTCAAGTCTATTGCTATAACGACATTTTCTCGTGCTCTCTTTTGTGTTTTTAAGGTCTTTGCGCAAGAGAATCTGTTGTCAAATAAAGCAGCGGTTATTCGCTATGAATTCGAAACTGGAGTATAACAATCTACCATCACATTTTTCTGGAGAAAACTGCGTCACTGCACACTGCCTTTAATAAGGTTAATGACACTAGGAGAATCTGCGAGTGCTTGAATGGTATAGACCTGAATAGGGACAATCTTGTTCTTCTGACTGCTGCGACCTAATGAACTATCTTAACAACTGTCCGACAAGGAAAATTTCACCACTTTTCTTATTTTTTAGGGACAACACCGCAAACAACAAACAATCCAATGACGACGAGAATGACAACGCCGAAAATGCCTCCTATTCCTACAATACGAACGACAAGAAAGCCGACGACGACCGAACCAAACAATCCAATGACGACGAGAATGACAACG